CGGGTGGCGTTCAGCACCGGGGACAGCGCCCGGCGGCAGCGGGCCTGCGCGGGCGTCTCCAGCCACCCTGTGGAGTCCAGGTGAGGCCACTGAAGCAGGAAAGAGTTGTCCCTGAAGCCTGGCGGGTGCAAATGGAGCTGCGCCCTGTGACCCCGTGGGGGGGGGGCAGTCATTTTGCTGCTAAGAAGGGAGTGTAAACAAATACGGCACAGATTTCTTTCTCCACCAGGTTACTAGCCCGGGAGAGGCTTGCCCCGTGCCAGTACCAGTCACAGCAGCGTCTGCTGCCAACTGCTTCTCCCCCAGCACCCTCCGGGCATCAGCTGGCCTCAGCCCCAGGAGAAAAGCCGGTATTTTCAACAAACTCTTCGGTCAGATGGCGTCCTGCATGACCAATTTCTCAAGTTTGGTTTTTAAGGCGAAAATCTGGGAGTGCACCTTTATGGGACCTGGTCCTCCGCAGGGGCTGGGGGACCCAGGGGTCACCTGATGGAGAGGTTCCAACGCCACAGCACTTTCCAGGGTGTTCTTTCATTTATTGTGTGTTTATAGCCCAAATACAAGTGTTCTAGGGTTTTCCTAAAATCCCACTGTGCCCACTTCTTTATGGGTAACTTTTCTCTCTTTTCCNCCCTGACATCACAGCCTGTGGCAGTGACAACTACACTGCATTGCCTCCTCAGCTCCATTCAAGGATCTGGTTAGGACATGTAGAAATGTGTTCTAGAAATTTTAAAAAAAATTTTTAAAAAAAAAAAAAAAAAAAAAAGTGTAATTTAAAAAAAAAATATTTTCCATCAACCTTGTTCCTTCAGTTTAGGCCTTTGCAGAGGAACAGCTCCCACCACTCAGTGGTGGCTCCCACCCATTCGGTGGCCTGAGCAGCAGGGCCTCAGACCCATCTTCAGCTCAGGAGGAGACTGGATGGGCACAGGAGGCGCCTGTATGACTGGGTGTTTATTTTTAAGAGTAGAGCCCTGGCCGATGTGGCTCAGTGGACTGAGCACCATCCTGTGCACCGTGAGGTCACCGGTTCAATTCCCGGTCGGGGCACATGCTCGGGTTGCAGGCCCAATCCCTGGCAGGGGGTGTGCGGGAGGCGGCCGATGAGTGTTTCTCTCCCACATTGATGTTTCTCTCTCTCTCCCTTCCTCTCTCTAAAAAGCAATAAAGCCCGGCCGGGCGTGGCTCAGCGGCTGAGCGTCGACCTGGGATCCAGGCGATCGGGGTTCGGTTCCCGGTCAGGGCACATGCCCGGGTTGTGGGCTTGATCGATGACTCTCTCATCATTGACGTTTCTATCTCTCCCTTTCCTTCTCCTTTCCTCTCTCTGAAATCAATAAAGATATATTTTTAAAAAAATAAAATAAAAATAAAAAGCNGTTTCTATCTCTCTCTTTCCTTCTCCTTTCCTCTCTCTGAAATCAATAAAGATATATTTTTAAAAAAATAAAATAAAAATAAAAAGCAATAAAAATATANGATGACTCTCTCATCATTGACGTTTCTATCTCTCCCTTTCCTTCTCCTTTCCTCTCTCTGAAATCAATAAAGATATATTTTTAAAAAAATAAAAATAAAAAGCAATAAAAATATAATTTTTTAAATAAAATAAATAAAAAGGGTATATCTATCTGTGCTCTAACTCTCCCACCGTGAAGAACTTTAAGCAAGATGTCTATGGATGAACAGTCCACTCCCTTTAAAGAAGCTGCCTCTGTTTTTAGGTTCTCCTCAGAGCACCTGCAGCCCTGTGCCTGCTGGGAGGCACCGTCCTGCGGAGGCCGCTCGGAAGCACCAGCCTGACCTTCAAACCTGGCCTTGGGGGCGCAGGCTCCCCTCCCTCCACCCTGGCCACGTGGACAACCTCTGCTCAGCACAGGCCTGCCTGGGGGCCACACCCATTGGGGGCAGCGTTCGGGTAGAACCTGCTGGTGCAGGTGCAGCAGGCTGGAGCCCTTCGGGCTGGGACACTCACTCCCAAATGGAGGGGGACACTCTCTGACATTCTGCACCTTCTTCTTTCTTTTTTTAAAATTAAATTTATGGGAGTGACAATGGTTAATAGGATCATATAGGTTTCAGGTGTGGGTTTCTATGTTACAAGATTTGTATATTGCTCTGTGTGCCCACCACCCAAAGTCAAATCTTCTCCAGTCACCATATATTAGGCCCCCTTCACCCCCACCCCCTTCCCTCTGGCAACCACCACACTGCTGTTGGTGTCCACAAGTTTCAGTTTTATATCCCACATACGAGTGAGATCATATGGTTCTTAGCTTCTTCTGACTGACATTTCCTTAGCGTGATATTCTCAAGGTCCATTCGTGTTGTTGCAAATGGCACTTCATCATATGGGAGATGGTATTTGCAAACAGTAGCTATGACAAAGGTTTATTTTCCAAAATATATAAAGAACTCATAAAACTCAACACCCAACAAACAAACAACCCAATTAAAAACTGGGCAGAGAGCCTGAGCAGACACCTCTCCGAGGAAGACACACGAACAGCCGATAGATACATGAAAGATGCTCAACCTCACCAGCAATCAGGGAAATGCAAATCGAAACTACAATGAGCTACCGCCTCACACCTGCTGGAGTGGCTGTGCTCAACAAGACCGGCAATAACGAGTGCCGGAGAGGGTGTGAGAGAAGGGAACCCTGCTTCACCGCTGCAGGAAGGTAGACTGGTGGGGCCACTATGGAGAGCAGACTGGTGATTCCTCAAAAATTAAGAATGGAGCTACCATATGACCCAGCAATCCCTCTCTTGGGGATATACCCAAAAAACTCGAAAACATGTATTGGCAAGGATATGTGCACCCCTATGTTCACTGCAGCATTATTCACGGGGGCCAGCCAAAGTGTCCTTTGAGAGAGGACTGGATAAAGACGTGATGCATGTACGCAGTAGAATACTACTCAGCCATGAGAAGGGATGCATCTTTCAAAGTCAAGTTCAACACGCGTGAGCGACGGTGAGCCTTCCTCAGACCAGGGCGATGTTTCTCAGGTCCTGAAACGAGCCCTCCTGACCTCGTCAAGCCCTGGAGACGGTCCAGCTGCGGCTCTTCCTCATGGCCCCTCCATGAACCCCTCCTCACCCCTGATCCCGCAGCCCTTCTCACAAGCCTGCCACGGTTCCCCTCTGCTAATCCAAACCAGGAGCACGGCACCGACTGCCTCTCTGCCTGGGCCTCTCCCACAGCCAGGAGCCCACGCCCAGCCAAGGCGCCATCCACTGGTCCTCACCCGCGTTTCATATTACCACCTCCTGTACCGTACGCTGGGCATGACTGCCTTCCTCCCTCATTCAGCCAACCAAGATTTGCTGAGTGCCTGCGATTTGCCAGGCTCTGTTCTAGAAGCTAGAAGTGAGCAGCAAACAAAACAGACAAAAACCCCCACCCTGGGGATCTTACGTTCGAGTGGAGGGAGACAGGAAATAAATGAACATGTAAAACCCACAGGATATGTGAGGTGGCAAAGGAGGCTACTGGATGCCAGGGCGTGGCTGGCATGGTGGTCAGGAATGGCCTCCCTGGAGAGGTGGCATTTCAGCAGAGCACCGTAGGGGGGAGGGCACGAGCCTCTAGTTGAAAACTGGAGAAAAACATTCCAGGCAGAAGGAGCAGCAAGTGCAAAGGCCCTGAGGCAGGTGTGTTCGGAAAAGGCAAGGNCTGGAGAAAAACATTCCAGGCAGAAGGAGCAGCAAGTGCAAAGGCCCTGAGGCAGGTGTGTTGGGGAANGCAGAAGGAGCAGCAAGTGCAAAGGCCCTGAGGCAGGTGTGTTCGGAAAAGGCAAGGAGGCCAGTGGGGGTGAGAGAAGGTCGTGCAGGTCTAGTGGACCACTGCAGGGATGCTGGCTTTCACTGTGAGTGAGCCCAGAGCCTCAGGGCTCTGACCAGAAGGGCGGCACGTCTGATGGGCACTGTAACAGGCCACTCCGGCCTCCAGTTGTTGAGAACAAACTGCAAGAAGCCAAGCGGGAAAGAGACGCCATATAGAAAACCCCGCAATTAGACCAGCAGGAGGCAACAGCACCTTAAACCAGACTCACTGTCGGACTGGATTTCCTGGAGGGTTGGGTTTGGGGGGGACAGGAAGAGCAGAGACGGGGTGAATCTGATGGTTCTGGCGGAACGACAAGAAGGGATGGAGTTGCCACGTGTTACGTCGGTGGAGGCGACAGGAGCAGCAGGCTTGTTCGGGGAAGGAGTGGAGACAGATCGCTTCCCTGCCCGACTGATGGGGACCAGCCTTTAAGCCCCAAAAGGAGCACAGTCTCCTCCAAGAAGCCTTCCTCACACAGAGATGACAGCACTCACCCCTCTGCATGCCAGCCCTTCCCTTCCTCTCTCGCCCATATTCACACACACACACCCTAATACACACTACACACACATCTCACACACACCCCACACAGATAAACGCACACCTCACACGCAGATCTCATACACACACATCACACACACAAATAAACACACACACACAGATGAACACACACACCTCATACACACACACNCTCACACGCAGATCTCATACACACACATCACACACACAAATAAACACACATACACAGATGAACAAACACACATCTCACACGCACACACACAGATGAACACACACACCTCATACACACACACAGATGAACACACACACACGGCACTTCTCCACGCCAGTTATATACATCCACACGTGATTCCCTTGAGCAACCCAAGGCTGATTCATTTCACATCATCCAGAAGCACTTGCACACAGTAGGTGCTCAATAAATACTGTTGGTGCTGTTGTACAGAATTGCACCTGCGATGTTTTAATAGTCTAACAGCTCAAAACTGTTTTCAAACATCTAAAACTTATGCTTGGCACCGATTAAACATTAGTGGTGACTACTCCATCGGAAGCGTCCCGAGTGGCGATGGGGACCCGCCCCCGTCATTCCAAGCGTCAGGGCGAGCTCCCCTCGGAAAGGCAGGCGAGGGGGACGGGCTTACCTTGCTGGTCCTCACGTCCCAGGCTTTGATTTCAGAGCTGAAGCCTCCACACACGAAAACGTTGTGGTCTTTCGGGTGAAATTTCAAGGCAGTGACTCTAAAGTTACTCTGGCCGCTGAGTAGCTGGGTTCCTACAACACAAGAAGAGAAGAGAGAAAACACTCAGGCCGCAGAATAAATCTCTCTAAGACAAAGACATCGCCTGGGAGGGAGCTACGGGCCCACGCCGCCCCCCGGCCCGAGGCGGCCAGTGGGCACTTAACAGTGGTGGCGGAGGCACGGGCGCACTCTGCCCCCCGACCCTGATCGGCAGAACCCCTCACCCGCCGGAACGGGGCCGGCGGCTGGACCGCGAATGCCGCCTTCCGCGTGCTCTTAGACATGAACCAGCATCCGCCCTTCAGACTCTTTACGGCCGAGACACCCAGCACTCGGGAGACCGAGCAACGTTTCAGGCTCCACCCGGGGGTATGCAATCTGACGAAAGCAGGGGGCCCCAAAGTGACCACCCCCTTAAAACCACCCACAGAGGGTCTGGTGCGGAGCCTGGCAGTGGGGGTGGCAGGCTGCCCTGAGAGCCTGAGGGCCGCCCGGGGCCTGTCCCTGGGGCCCGGGCCACCACACCAGGCACGGCATCCTGCTGGGCACCGCGCTGACCAGAACGTGAAGGTGGCTTCCCGCAGCGGTGCCGACGAGGGCCGCCCCGGCCCGCGAGGGACGCCAGTGAC